GCCGAGTGGTTAACTTGTGAGCATCGCCTGCCTGCGCTGGAGAGGAGTCAACCCAGATATTCCCATGAATCCTTCTCAATTGCCAGGAACATTTCATAACCACAGATTTTCTTATCAGGGAGGCAAAGCTCATGGGCGAGACTCCATCTGTTATTTAGACCAGTTGGTACAATTGTAAAAAACAGAGAAGTTTTCAGGCACGAAAGACGTTCTTCATGCTCCTTCTGCAGTGCAACTTCTGAAACAGCCTGGCATCCCCTTCGCTCTGGAGCTGGCACCAGGAACAGGCTGGAAAAGGTTGTTTGGGGTAGAGGATGGAAAACGAAAAGTGGGAACAGCCCCGACTCAGCCAAGCCGAGGTGCACACCAGCTCCCCCAACCCCCCTTCAGCCGGCCAAAGCCCAGAGCGTTTCCGAAGTCACGGGAACAGCAGCAGCTCCCAGATGAGACCGATGCTCTCGACGCCTGTGTCCAAACACAGGGAAGCAGATTTCACACCTAGGAAGCGACGCATTTTCTGGGATACAGAATGTGCTGCTCGCACGTTGCCATGGCAAAGAGCTGCCACCCCAGGGAAGCAGAGGCAATAAAAAGTTTAGTCATAGAAAACACAACAGAGAAAAATTTGTGCGTTTCACAACTGGGATCCAGAATAATCCTCGTCTGGGTTGGGTTAGTTCACCCGCGGCTTGACTCGGAGGGGCCGAGCGCAGCCAGCACGGATGAGCGAACGGTTCTGTATTCTGGGCCAGATTTAAGGCAGTGGAGAGACACTACAGATTAATTTGGCCTGTGGAGTAACATTAAGCAAAACTCAAGAGAAAACTGATTAAGATCCCACTGAAACACCATCTTATCCCAGCAGCATCCTGGGACACGTCCTTCACACCAGAGGAGCCGCTTTTGGAACGGCCTCAACTCACCGTCGCAGCTGCGATGTGCGGAAGGACACACTGCTGCTGCGGAATAGCCTTCATAAACTGCAGTTTTGGGCTCAAGCAACCGATGAAGCCACAGGCACAACACAAAATCCCGCTGCCATCTTTGCAAGACTTTCCCCTTCTCTGTCAACACCCCAGAAATAACTCATCTGCATCGTGTCAGCGCCCCACGCACCCACCTGCGAAGGGGCTACGCTGCACCGGGCGCAGATGGACAGAAAGGGGGATAAGGGAGAAGCCCTCCATCTACCGCGTCTCAGCTCTTAACAAGAGCAGCCTTTGCCTCTGCGCTGAATGAGCAAACAAAAACCACCCTGGGTCCACAGTGTGAGGAGAGGAAAGCAGACGGACAGAAACAGCTCTGGAGATCACCTAGTCCAACCTGCCCTGCGCAAGCAGGGTCAACCAGGTCTTCCCCCATCAACTACCCGTTGGGAGAAACCCCTATTTCCAACACGATGAAGAGCAAAGTACAACTTCGGCAGCCTGCAGCTCACCCCACTCCCTCCGAGCACAAGACAGCTCTGGGACCAGCAGGAGTCTGCCCAGGGCACACGCCGACTTCGGTCTGCAACAACTCAGCTGAGTTCTAGTTAAATTTCTTGGCTTTATTTCTTCCAAGGTATGACAGTTTGATTGTTCTTCATGTGTCAAGGGTCAACTAGGATTGCAGCAGCTGCAGACATCCACCCCTGGCACCGTATCGTGATGCGACTGGTTCATTATTTTAGGGCAGGATTCTCAACCGGTGTAAATCAACCCAGTTTGGGTGACTTCAAAAGCAATAGCTTGACTACGACCACGAGAGATTTTAGTAAGTAAAAAGTTGTGTACAGCACTGTTAATGACAGGATCTTTCTTAAAACATTTGTATAAACACTTGTAAACTTCATGACACTCCACAGACGTTATTTAACCCTTCCAGCACTCTGACACATTAGGCTTGAATGCCATTTCCATGTATTACTTCAATGTTGTTTAAAGACATGCCTCAGAAGAAAACCAAAACTCCAAAAATTTGGAGTTTTTGGTTTGCTTTTTCTAATTAAAACTACATACCTTTATGTGGTAAATACACCACACAACTGCAGACAAACAAAACGCATTTTGCTCCCTGTAAGACAAGGAGAGTTTGTCAAATTCTGCATTTCAGTGGTGGCCAACAGCCTTACACGCAGCCCTGCCACGGCGTGACCACCACCAAAGCTGCTCAGCTCATCAGTAGGGATGCCCTGTACCTTCCTTCTACCCCTGTAAAACAAAGTTTCTTGCTAATAAAACTTCTCCAGCGAGGACTGCCAAACAATCCTAGGGAGAGCTGTCCTTCTTGGGCTTCAATTTACGAAAAGAGAATCCACAACAGCTCAAACAGCTTGAAACCTCAGGCAAATTCTGGCAGCTCGTTCCCCTTTCTCCCAAAGCAACGCCGAGAACACAAGAGCTGCCACAACCAGAGCCGTCAATCTGGCAAGACCCAAACACACAATAAAAAATTTAAAAAATGAGAAACAGAAGAAATGAGCAAACTAGAAGTAACATGCACTTCTTCAATATTCAGAAAGTGCAGAGTACTCTGCCCTTTTCTTCTCAAAATTAGGGACTGAGCTTTTAAGTGCCCAATACGCACAGATGTTTTCTTGTACATGACGCATCAGAGTGCCGCCCTCTTCGTGCTGTCTTGTCCCCTTCAAAAGAAACAGCAGAGTACGTTTATCGTGTTAGGCAACTGATGAGTTAAGAAAACAAAAAGCAGCCTTGTGAGACAGGCAGATCTGTTATGTAATATATAGGACACCGGAAAAATGATATCACATAAGCAAGCTGACATTTGCTTTCCATAAAGCATTTCCGAGTCTCGGGTTTGCCGAAGAACACACCCGAGAGTAAACAACGCAATGTGAAACCCGCTCGCCGAGCCAGCGTAATCCCTCACCTGCACTTACATGGTCAGAGAGCACCGACAGTAGATTTAAAAAAGATTTCTTGATGTAATGCAGATGTCTAAACCCCAGATCCCTTCAAATGTTACTTAGTATTGCATTTTTAGGGAAATTACAGTTTACGTTACCTTAGTTGAGACTGAAGAAGCTATCCATTCATTTGCACCAGTTTAATATATGTATCCATCTGGAATTGATTTTGATAAAAAGGTTAAACAAAAAAGTAAGGGAATGAGTTCTTGTATCTTGTACAATATGCATACAGTGCATGACAACATGGATGCTGGCAAAAATCCATTATGATAACAAACCAGCAATTCCCAAGATGGAGCATCCAGCTTCAGAGGACTGTTAAAATATTCTTGCTGGCTAAAGACACTTGCGATCTGCTTCCATCTGCTTCTTTGTAAGTTTAGAACATGCTTCAGTAACTTAATTTTAGAAAGAGACAAATAAAAATGTAAACACTTGCAGCCCAAGGCCACAGTATGTCAAACAACACCAGTGACTGCTGAGTAAAAATGCTAATTTTAAAATTAATCGCATGTCATTCCATGACATGATCTACTTATCTCTTCTGTTTTGTTGCTCATGTAGAGAGAAAAATATATATTGATGTACCACAAAAACCACCAAGGATCTTCCCCCTCTTAATATTACACTTTTCCAGTCAAAACATACCTTTAGTCTTCAGCCTTGGAATGTATTTAATGTAAGATAAATTATGTTTAAGAGGTAACAAATATATTTTTCGGTAATTTCCTTTCCTCTCCAAACATCAAAGCAGCTCAAAATACCATGGAAATGTATATCATAAATCCCCCAGACACTGGAAGTTATCACTCCCTTTCACATATGGCACGACTAAAGCTCATAAAGTGTAAATCCTTTGTATAAAAACACAAAATAAAACCGTAACAGAAGGGGGGGAGGGGGGAAATAAGACCTTGAATCAGATATCTGACATCTTGTCTATAAGCCACAAACTTCCCAAGATGAACTCCAAACTTTATTTCTATTTCCAGTACATTATAGTAACTATAAAGTAATGGCCTGCAGTCATAGTATAAAACCAATGCCAGGTGTAACTCATGACTTTATGTATATACATATATATATACACAAAAGATTTATTATAATCATCAATGCTTTCAGCATTAAATATTTGATCCTGAAATCTTTAACCAGACAAAAGCTGAGCACACAGAAAATTCTACTTCAACCAGGACTGATTCACCTTCTTCTCAACCAGCTTAAGGCTTCACTGCAGTGTCGACTCATTCATTTATTCCACGGTTGACACCATGTTCACAGGACTGTGACTTGCCTATATATAAATATTGGAACAAACGTTCAAAGTGAAAATATACACCTCGTGCCCAAATGTTCCTCTGTTTGTATCACTAAGAGCCTTAACATTTGAGTCCAGAGCCTCAACTGCTGTAAACTGCTCCAACTCGGCCAATTTCAGTGGCAATATGCTGATTTAGCTGATGATCTGGATCTCTGTCTCATCAAGTAAGGACATCCTTGAGAACAGCCACCCTCCCCAACAGAGCCTCTCACTTCCATGATGCCAACAGCCTACTCGAAATTGTCTGGCCAGACACCAAGCAGTTCTTGTACATCGCTCTCTGTTCTGACGGCTGGAAACAGCCCTTTTCACAAACAGCTCCAAATGTTGGCTTTGTACTGGAGACTGTATTCTGAAAACCAGTTGGGCAATTCAAAAGCATATGAAAGCAATTATAATTATAGTACCGCTGCGATAATTAAAACATTGCCAGCTGTATATAAGCCTATTCAAATGTACAGCTGTTACACGGGTAATGGAAATAATACAAAAGCTTCAGATTCTGTGCCCCATAATTTCTCAGACTGCTACATTACAAACTCAGTTAGTACCACCCCGTTCATGACAAAATGCCATAACAACAGTGTCCTTTTCCATGCTTTCTTGTAAACAATTGGTTCCCTCATCACCTCCAAGTAATAAAAATTGTAACATATTATACAATGATGTCCAATAAAAGATTAAACGGGTATCAAGTAAAAACCAGAAAACTATTAGCTGATTCTCTTCTGCTGAAATTGTTGCCAGCTTTGGTCTAGATGCCTCCTACACTTGGTCACCTTTGTCTTCGGTTGCCATTTCTGAGTCTCTCCGTTGCTCTTCTGGATCCCCTGGAAGAATACTGGTGACTGTCTGGAGCAGTGACTCAATCTGCTCTTCTGTTAGCCTTTCCTCGCTTTCTTCTACCATCTGCAGGTCAAAAAAACAATCTGCTGTAATCATGAAATCCGTACTTCCTTCCTCAGCTCCAAACAGGAGGACTCAACTAATTGGGAAATACTGTTCTCAATGGATGCAAGACATAGTCTGAGCTCATTACAAAAACATTTTACAAAGCGGAACTCTTACAATATTTAAAAAACGAAAATAAGAGCTCCATTGTTAACCATGACAATTGGCACTCCATAATGAGACCCTGCTTTCTTTACAACAAGGAAAACACGGCTCTCAGAACAGGCTTTCCTCCCTGGTTTCTCCTAAAGCCTCTCAGCCTACACATCAGCATCTTGAGCCAGGCTTTTCTTGTAGCTCATGTGCACACCTGCCTTCCAGACCTATTTTCCGAAGTTCCTGTGCTTTCATTTGAGAACTGAAATAAGACAACAGCGGTTACCTGAACCCTGGTATCTTATCCAGCACCTAGACTATAAGTAATCAGGCCACCTAATCCCACTGCAGCTATACTTCACTGGAATTTGCTTGGATCACAAGATTCCTGCATATAAAGCCATATAAAAGCTCTGAGCAACACAAAACATGCTGTCACAAATGAACAATAAAATTCCATAAGATTAATTAGGGACCTACTTTCACTGTGGAGCTGTGGGAACTCTTATATCACTGCTACCAGTAAAAACAACTGCCCTAATTTATAGGCAGCTGTTAAAAGGAAAAGCTTGTCAGAGGACTGCAAAAGCAAGCCAAAAGAACTCTTCAAACGCAAATGAAACCAATTAGGATTGCGGGGTTTGAGATTTTCTTTTTCATACAAAGTCCTTTAAAACGTCCTTTGAAGAGCAGTGATTTATATTAATTACGGTTCCAAGTCAACACAGGTTTAATCAGTTGTACCTATAAATTGTCAGCTATTCAGATGCATCTTGCCTTCTAAAAAGCAGAGTGGTACATTCAATTAACTTTTTTTTTTTCCTTTAATGTCCTATGAGCCCCCTCTGCACAATCTGATCATCTTTCATCAGCCATTATCCAGAGATCCTTGATGAGAGGAAAGCGAGCACGCTAGAATCCACTCCTGTTGCAAAAGGCAGACAGTGAATATCCATTTGCAAATGACTGTTTCTGGGGACTGTCCTGATCAAAGGGTGAAATTCTCTGTGGAGCGGCTTTCGAAGTACAGTTAGTTCAAGAACTACTGTAGGACCCTGGCTTGAAAAACAGCCCTGGCTCTCATTACCGCCAGCTGCTATGCTATACACTAGGAGTTAAAATTGACTAAAAATCCCCCGAACGTTAGCCTTCTGTGTAAGCAATGGCCAAATCGACTGAAGCTGTATCAGGTAATTGCCTGCTAGGCTGCATTTCAGAGGTGATCATCTCAGCAGCTTGGCTGGCATACCTTGGGGCATCAACACTGCACTATCAAGTATGCCACAGTGCGTACACACACTCTGTTGCCAATACTGCTATAAAGCCATTACTCTACAGATGACCTATGCTATTAAATTTTGTAGAAGATTATCAGCCTGGCTTTCAGACTGGATTATAGTGTTATTAATTACTGTTACATTGAATTTTGAAGGTGACAGCCCCATAGCAGGAGGAACCATACCAAGAAAAAGCCCACGTCCTTTTGACAGGCAATATCACTTAAAGGCAGAATGATTTATCTCTTAGCAGCCAAGGTCTCCTGCATTTGTTACCATCCCACTGCTTTTTGATCTTCAGAAAAATGGCATCTTGCCTAGTTTAGATTTGATTTATTGGATCACATGAAGTCCGCCCCTCTTCTCCATTTAAATTTTATCCCTCCCTACTTATCTCCTTTCCCTTTCTTCTGCAAACACTTTCTCCTTTGGGTGCTTGCTGCAGGCAGCCACAGTTAAACAGAAGGTTTTGATCAGAACTTAAACAGATCAAATAGAGAGCAATTTCTAGACCAGCATCAACTCTTCGCAACTTCTGCATTTAAGGCAGAATATACTTGAGTGAGTGTCTTATCACTGCTTCTTATGTGCTCTTGAGTGCCAAATGAGTAAAGCCCCAGCTCCCATTACAAACAATAACGTTGATGTCACTTGTACTGGCTGAACACAGAAGTCTGCAAGACTGACAAACTGCAGATACGACTCGGGGCATCGACCGATGAGCTCTGGTGATTGCTCTGGCAGTTTAAGAAATCACACTTTACCAGAAAGTTGATGAAAGAAAATAGTCTCTCGTGTTTCAGATGCTTTGGTGCTGTAACTGATGTCTCATTAAACTGCTGAGCAAAGCAACTTTACAGAAAGACGCTGGATACTGCACCGAGGAGTGGGTAAAGCAGCTCCAAATTCCCTTCTGTTGACAGATCCATAGTCTCTGCCAGAGGGAAGTGGTAATTCCTTAAACTGTGTAGCAAATTCATCGAGGGCTCACCTTTTAGTGCCTCCAAGCCATGCATCCTCACTGCCAGCTCTCACACCAGGAACTACCAATAGACAAAAACCGACATCTGGCAGGATGGACAGCTTATTATTCAAGTCGATGCTTCAGCACGATTTTGCTGTGATACTACTCAAGAGTTCACAGGATGAAAAGCATAAGCTATAAAAATCAATTTTTTTCACTCTTCAGGGAAACAGCCTGAGCAGCGACTTATGAAAACATAAGCAATTAGGAAGCAGCAAAGCAGCCTGCCAAAAGGAAAAATTCAAAAATTAAGCACAGAAAGCATGTAGATAAAGCGAAAAATGAAACTGTCCTAAAGGAAAAGAGGTATCAAGGGCAACAGAAGGTCACTCAGAGGCTTATTCTAGATTCAACAGATATTCGCACAGTCTTCTGATTTACTTCTGTAAGACAAAATACCTTTGCTACTGATAGTACTAGGCAATAATCTTATGATGCTCAGAAGAGAAATTACGTGTAAGAAAAAGCCTCAGAGGCAAAAAGAAACAATTGCATTCAAGCATCTGCTTTTCCCACAAGAATTTTACCAATATATGAAAAAATATCTATCAAAAGCCTTGCTAACTTCTAACTTACAACTGGCTGAAACTGCTCAAGCCACAGCTTCAAACCATAAGCAGTCAGGAATGCAAAGTTTATACTAAGGAAAACAAAAATGCAAATGTTTTTAAAAAGCGTATGACATAAGATGTTTATGTTGGCAGTGCCAGACACCAAACGGAAAGAGATTTTCCTCACAGATGATGCCATGTGCAAAGAGTAGAGTACCACCAACCAAGGCTCTGCAGAACCGTGCATTCCAGTTTTCAGGGGTTTGTGCAAGTAACAGAAGTGGACAGCGTTACAGTAACACAATTTATAGCTAAAAAGCACCCTGATGTGCAGCAAGACAAGCATGTCTCCTTCTCAGGGCTGAGAGCAAGCATTTGCTTGTAATGAACACAGGAGCAAGGCAGGAAGCCATGTCAGCTATGCTGCTTCTGGTAACAATTCCGAAGTCGTTAACTGCTTTTCAGCATTCAAGTCTATACTACCCAGCGGTTTTGTAGCACATGTTGCTGTGTACCAATGTGATTCATACATACACAGTATGTATTTTCTATGAAATGCAACTACCTGGTCAAGACCAACTCTGTCAAGTCAGGCCTCGATAACTGACTTCACTCTAACCAGTAACAGTTTTTAAATTCTCATTGCAATATATGCATACAGTAAGCAACTTTCACATTTCATTTCCCACCCAGTTAATATTCTAAACAATAAAGCCTACGAGATGACCAAAGAAGGAACCAAGGAAGGAAGCAGGAAAAATCTATTTGGTAACTTAACTGGTATAAAATTCTTACAGCTAAAAAAAGGAGGCACATTCCCCCTGCAGCTGGTAGACACCTTTCAAGCCTGAGTACCTAGAGTTCCTTCTTACTTTATTGATAAATCGACTCATAAAACAGTCAGATCTTCAGAACTGTGGAATATACACAAATTACCCTGAAGGCAGCTGAAGCTACCATAATGCTCACCTCCGAAAGCAATGCTACCTTTCTTTAGAAGTCTAATCACCAATTCGTCACCTGCTTAGGCACCTCGTACCTACAACTGTTAAGCCACAGCTTATGTATTGACTTAATTTCAAGTACTCAGGAGGTCCAACCAACTTAACTGAACTTTAAGCTTAAAATTAGGCAAACATTTACTAAATTGAGTACATCAAAAAAGGATGCCAATTCTGTTCTGCCTCTCCAGATACATCTACGCGTGGGCTCTCTAACACAGCAAAATGAAGCACGCATCCAGCATCCATCACTGAGTCTTGCTACAAGAGAATAAAAAGACAAATCGCTCGTCAACTGCAGAATTAAACACTGGCAGATGCCTTGCTCAGTAACGTAACCGCTACCGGGAACCAGAGCTGTGCTTATTAAACAAATGTGTATGTGGAATATTTTACTACCATGCAGTCTTTCCCAGCTGCACATTTTAACAGTAGCTTTTTTTAATTGAGCACTATGTATGAATTTCTCAGAGGAAGAAAACAACCATAATTACCAAATCAGAACGTAATAATAGAATTACATTAAGCAGTAAGTCACTTTAAAACCTGCTGATAAATTCTCATGGCAGAAAGCCATTTTGAGAAGCTTTTAAAGACTTTATTTATTGAGAAGGTAAATCACAAAATAACAGCTAGTCTGATTATCAAGATAATTTCAAAGACTAAAGTGTGTATTCATAAAACAAATGTGTAAATCTATGTTCATACTGTCATGTACGCATGTAAGCACAAAATATGAACACAAACATATATACACATGTATACTTGTCTAGATTTCCCACACACACACTCAATCAAACACCGACAAACTTTTTAGGAACATGCCTTCCCTAATTATAACCGTACCTTATCTTTTCTGCTTATCCAAGTAAAAGCTAAGTATAAGAGATTTCCATCATCCTCACTGCGCTTCTTTCAAGCTTTCCATGCTAACGTTTATTTCATTTAGCTTCCTGAGACACAGTAACACACTGCAAATGTTGATGAATAAAGAAAGCCACACTGAAGAACCCTAAAAAGTTCTGAAATAACTGTGAAACTGTCTAAAGGGTAAGTAATATTTGAGGGGCAACCAACCTCAGCATCACAGAAGAGAACAATCTGTGGATTAAAAGCTATTGTTTGTTTGAATAATAAGCTAAGAATTCTATGTAAAAAATAGTCAGTGAACTATAGTAAAAATGGAAATAGGCGTTCTGATCACTTCCAAAGCTCTCAAGCATGTAACTCCAGTGTAGGAGGTACATATTTTATGAGAAAGTGACTGCTGTATTTCCTCTTTGAGCAGTAATTTGAAATTGTTCAGCACCAACACGCTAGTAGAGAAAAAGCACATAAAAAAAGAAATAAAGTGAAAGACTGAATGATTGGATTAATGTCCCCCAGAGATAATTAACCAAGTATGCAAAGTGGGAAGCAAAATATACTGTTGAGAAAATAAAATGTTTAAATCCTCTAACATCTTCCATTTTCCAGAATACTTTATGTTATTGTCTTATTGTTGAATTGAAAATAATCTGCCAGGCTGGTTATGCAGAGCACATATCACGAGATACAAAGCCCTCTGAGATGAAAATCTAGTTTTAAAAAGCACAGAATTAAAATCTACTTTTCCATTCAGAGAGAAGAATGTGGAGCAATTTGTCCATTAGAAAAGATGATGCTTAATCTTCAAATCCATCACAGTTGAGCATTAAGTAAAGCTGGACCACTGTCATGGTTAGATCAACACCACTATCTTTTTCTTTTCCTGCTTTGTGAATCACTGAGCCAGGAACAACATATGTTAAAGATTAAAACAGGAGGTGAAGATAGCTGCAATGTGTACAGTGTTCTACCCTGTGGGATATGAATTAGAATTTCGTGCTCCTTTTGTTGCTATTGTTGTTTGAAAATAAATCCTGGCACACAGTCCGGAAAAGACAAATACGAACAATCACAGCAATTTATCCATACAGACTTACAAAAGAACTTGAGATCAAAAGATCACAACATAAATTTGCTTTTTAGCTTAAATATAATTTTATCAATATTGATTTATTGTTTGCATACAACTAAAGACAGGGAATTTTATAGAAGGAAAGTAAAAAACACAAAAAGCTGGAACAGCAAAAAAGCAACACACAGTAGTAAATATAACTATCATCTGACTCTATTCCAGGGACAGGCATCACTGAGTTAAAGTTTGAAACATCAAAACTATTTGAAAAAGTGAAAGACAGAGATATGGCTTCTTTGGCATTTTGTTTAAAGCTTTTTAAAAAATAAGATTCATTTGCCTAAGTTATATGAAGTGGTCAGACGTTTTCATCGTCATTTATTTATGATTCAGTTCCAGGAGCGACTCAAAGCTTTTGAGTAGCAGGGGCAAGTTCAATGAAAAGAGAATCGAGGCAATTTAGACCTCGTATTCACTTCTCTGCAGGTTGTCTCTCATCCATCAGCTGCAGTGAATTGACTTGTCTGCATGAAACCTGTGTATGGGTAATCTTCTCCCTGCTGACATCAAAGAAGTAAATGCTGGTAGCCTCCGCAGGTCTACATTATTTTATACTCAAAGATGGTCAGAGAAGACAGAGGCTTTATGTGTTCAAAGATGCTGCACTGCTACAATCTCTTTCCCCTGTCCTCACCAAAACCCAAAGTGATTCGAGACAGCAATCAAACAGCAAAATGATTTCCTTGCTACGGCTCCTAGTCTCTGTGTTTCACTAACAAAAATGGCCTGCAGTTTCTAGCAGTTATTGAGCTCAAAAGACTTTGATGGGCTTTGATGAAACAGTAAATGTACTGCAATTTGGGGGAGGCTTATTTTAACACAGTATCAACAAGACAGTCAAATTACTGTAATACTAGTTTTGGAGAAACTTGTCCTGGGAATTACAGGGGTATCATAATGTAACAGAAGTAACTGCATCCCCGGTACTTCCATGACAATATAAATTCAGACTAGTCCCCAAATGTATGAATATTACATTTTTTACAAGTTGCTTTTCATCATTAGAGAAGAGTGACGTATCAGTAATGGACTGACACTGAAATCTTGTATCTGTATTCTGTAAGTTTTAGCAATGAGTTTTATCTAACTTTGACATTACAAACCCTGGAATATCTGAAGTGCAACACTCTACCAGGTCAGCAACCTGACATCTCATACAAAGGCCCAAATTTCTTATACTTGCCTCCTGGACTTCAAACACTACACAGGGGCAAAACTATTTTCAGTATTTTATGGATAGGTAAGATAATGAGAAACTAGGCAGGAGAAGGAGGGGAGGAGGAAAAGACAGGCAAAACCACAAAGTCACTTGAAAGCAGAAAAAGATTACTGCATTTAAAGAAGGGGAAAAAAAAGACCACATATGGCCTACATGGGAACATAATAAATCTGTGTCTAAGCACATGAAGCTAACAAAGGTATGAGACAGGCTCTACATCATCGCTTATGAATAACTTCCTAAGCAAAACTCACGAAGCCTTAATGGTTTTGGCTGAGTTGAATCTCTTCAATCACAAAACACAGTATTATTTCCTCAGCTAGAAGCATTCTTTTACGAGACACCTTCAGCATTACAACATCTGCTCCTTGGCTATGAAAGAAAAATAGTCCTACTGGTACCTCTTTAATCCTCCCCACTTTTTGCAGCAAAATATGATCCTGTTGCTACATAGTTTGGTTTCAGAATAAGATTGTAAACAGATGTTCTTAATGTAAGAGATCTTTATTAAAAGTATATCCTCATTATAATAATCTCTTTATTACCACAGGATTTTGTATTCCTAAGGATATACTTCAGAGAATATAACCATCTATTTCTATTTAGCAACAATCCCTCTTTATACCAGATCTACGGTTAATAGATTGACAATGGCTACTCTCCATCAGAAAGTCTGTTTATATCCATTTCTCATTCTGCATCACTGCTCAAAACTTGACATCGGTCATTACTCACTCCTTTTCGGCACGTTTGGTAAACCCTGCGATCAAAACCACCATGCCACCACAGCTCTCAAGAAATGAAGTACTCGATTACAGAGCAGCAGCAAAAAGACTCACGTTAAATAAATTCTTAGTCGCAATACCGTAACTAACCTTTAATGACTGCACTGGGCATTTTCAGTATGTAACACTGAACCAGAGGTGGAGAATCTGCCTCAGAGAAAGATGGGCAAGTCTCTAAGAAGGTCTCAGAGACGAAGCAAAGTGGATTTGAAACCGTGAATGTAAAGATGTGCATAAAGGGATACATTCAATCACTAACCACGAGAAAGCAATTATTCGACTGATCGTCAAGGTTAAAGCTGCTTTCATTTAAGCTTTGAACAGTCAGGAGCATTGTTACTCACCAGCTGTATTTCAACTGCGGTCACAGGCCTGTGGTTAAGCAACTGGAGCTTTTCTGCCCTGTTTAAAAGCAAAGCGTAAAACAATTCGCATTATCATATAATTTGAGGACCCCCCAAAATGACTGCTAAGCAGCAAATACATTCCTGATAGTTTAGTTTCTGACTGGGTTTGCAGTGTGGTTTTATTGCCATGATAATTTGGGTATTTTAAATACAAGACTTCCTTGTGTCTTTAGACACACTGCTGTTGCCATCTCTAGTCTAAGGTAGCAAGGCAGAGGCCCTCAGACCATGACTGTACAAGCGCTAATTCACACGCACTGTTGCTTTGTTAAACGCTGTACAGAAATGCTGAACAACTCAAAGATTACAGACTCTTTTGCTATAAATACACAACCACAAGAACAATTACCATAGCTAATAAGTTGCAATCCATCAGCCAAAGGGCAGTAACTTCTTTAGTCTTTTAGCCCATTGCAAATGCAAAGTTAAAACAAAAAATCAGCTTGAAACCACTTGGTCACATGTACTCTCTGCAACCCCACGGTTTAAGCCACGGCATTTTTTCATACATTATTACAGTGGGCCGAGGCCATATTTTACACATGTATCTTCAGCCAAAATATATCTTCATCTCTGTTCCCATGCAAATCTATCTCTCCGTTGTTTCTACCATGCAGCAAAGCAGGCAGGGGACTGAGCGGACTGCAGAGACACCCAGCCTCTTCTTCTTGGGCTGGTTCTGACTCGCTTCACTGCGCAGTCCCAAGAAGACCGGCACGACCACAAGCAGCAAGGTAGAGGAGACAGAAAATGCCAAAAACCCCACCAGCCTCAATCAGTGCCTGAGGTGTAAAGGTATGGTCGCTTACTGTGGTTTAAAAGACAAGGATAATTCATTAAACTACTACAAGCTCTTCTAATTACCTGTCCACGCTGTAAAGCAGACAAAGCAATTCGATGCATTCAGATTCGCAGTCCTGTGCCTTTAGCACAAAAGCATTTAAATTCAACATTCACTTCTTTTGTCTTGATTTTAGGTATGAACCATATTGCATCGGTATTTTTAATCGTTCCAGTCCCATTCTCTCTGCTTACGAGGAGGACAAGTCAGTAAAACTCATCCGACTTTGGTACTTAAACACAAAACACTTTAATGTTCAGAGAGACAGTTTCGCACCACTGAAGCCAGTGGCAAAATTCCCGGTACATTCAGAACCCACTGCTTTTCTGGATTCATTTTGACCAAACTGCTAGCAGTTCTACTCTCTCATCAATAAATCACAAGATCTCACAAAATAAACGCTTTGATCATTAAAACAGAAAAAAGGGGTATGAGGGAGAAAATTTCATTGACATTTCAAAATATCTTTTTTTTTTTGATGATGTGATCAAACAAGTATGTTCATTAAATTTAAACCACAACATTTCGGCAACAGCTCTGCAGCCAAAAATTATTAATTTTACACCCTACTTAAATACAAATAATTCTAAAAAAAAAGTAAAAAACCAGCTGTCATATGCCAGTAATGCATATTTCATTACTTTCAGAAGCTTGGAACATTAACATTGACCACATAACAGCAGCATGGCTAACGATCTGAGACCTGCGCTGACCTTTGTGTTTCAGCACAGAAAAGCACAGTAATACAATGCTCCTAAAGATGAACCAGATGTTTAAAATGGCATACGGAACAGTAACAAATGCACTTTTATAACAAAACCATACAACTAGACTATAATAATAATAGATACAGTAAGTACAGGAACTTGAACACAGATTTTTTTTGGGGGGAAGAGGGGGATATAAATCATCTACTGTGATTACTACTTGACATACAGCCTCTCCGAGCAGCCATCTATGTTTCCGCAGCACCTCTGTACTGCATACAATCACGCGTTAACGTGAGCGCTGACAGTTCGCATGCCCGATCCTCCAGCCTGCGATACAGGGGTGAACCACAGTTTTAAAGAACAAAAGCTTGGAATTTATTATTTAAAAGCAGTCTTTAACATGTATTTAAACTGATTCTGAAGAGTTGGCCCCTGGTTTATTGGGCCTGTGGGTGGCTTTCAGGAGAACCCAGATGCTGTAACTCACAGCCCCGAGCTCTCCCCCACGCAGGCGTTTACAACCACCAGGTCAATGTCTATGTGCCTGGAGATACTTCAGAGATATCGCCCCATTGCAAACGGCCTCTGACACTGCCCGCCCTTGAAATCGAACACCAGCTGACAGCTCGTAACAGTCAGATGCATGAATGATAAAGTATTGAAGTATGTTCAGCGGTACATATTCAAAGACCAAGGTGCTCACGCTCCTCAGGAGCGGCCTTTGACAGGCGACGCACTGCTCTGGTGTGTGCACGCACACGCGTATACCTGTCACGAGACTGAATTTAATACTTAAGAAGGCAAGCAGCTGACACCCAAAGAAACTAAGGCCCTTCATCTACCCACTGAACAAGCCAAATGAGAAGCACTAGCATAAAATTTTCCTGGCTGATGTCTCCTGAAGGAAAAATCTCGTGTTACCACAGATCAGATTATCCAACAAACCCTCTTCAGCTAAAATGTCCACGATTGCAAGGGACTTAGTGACAGGAACAGGGCTATGGGAAACTCTGTGGCTCGCTGAAAACAGCTTTGCTGGAACAGCTTTGCTGATAGCAAACACGGAGCTTCCTTGTACAATAGGGTTCTGTGATGTGTAGTCACCGCCCTAAAGACCAGCAGACAGCTCTGAAGAGATGACACACTGCCTGTTCTTTTTACACCCAGCCTGCTGGTGACAAACCCAAATCCTAAAAATGAAACGTTTCTAATTGTTCCACCTCGTCCCTGAGTCATGCTGCCATCGTTTTTATAAAATTATGGAAAATAATTCAAATCATGACTTTCAACATCAAAAGAAAAGCCTGCAATTCAAAAATGCAACATTTACAAAATATTAACAATTCACAACAGAAAGCTCCAAGAAATCCTCCTATATATTTGTTTACCATTAAAAAGTGTACACAATTCACCATCTTGAATTTACATTTCATTTACAAACATACCTATTTTTTCCCCCTCTCTAAATTCAAAACTGGAGAAGGGGATAAGGAATTACGACTTTTTAAAGGAGAAAAAAAAAAAAAAAAAAGAAGAAAACTCCATTTTAACCAACCACAGAACTGTTCAAAATGTCTGTTTAAATAACGAGCTCAAACATTCTGGGTACCACCCGCTCCTTTTAATCTTCTTTTCTTCTTCTACAGAACCACATCAGAAGATTTTTCTCTGTCTTCAAAAAAAACTTGCAATGAAGTGACATTTGGCACCTGGATAAATGCCAACAAGTGTGGCAGATTTCACATCGATTTCAGATTTCACAGCTACAAGATTATTTTTGCTGAAGAAAAGGAAGAAGTTTCTACCTGCACAGCAGCATTTGCCCTTCCAAGCAGGGCCATCAACTTACTCCTTAAAAAAAAGGTGCCTAAATACGTTCCATAAGCAAATATTTTAACAGTGGTTTCAAAGTGTTTTCTAAGAAACACCAATTATCAAAATAGTTCCTCGAGCTTGCCCACACTTATTTGTGTGTCTTGTACAAAGTAGTAAGGATCACTATTCCCATTTTACAGACAGTAAGAATGCAGGGGAACGACTAAGTGGTGACTGCATTTGGAAGTGTAAGAATGGGGAAGAGAGGTGGTGTGGGAGGAGAAAAGGCAAAGCCCTTGAGACTGCGCATCGCAGCAGCCGTTGCTGTATTCTCTGAAGGCTCCACTAAACGATGCTGAAAAGGACTGTGTGGTCGTGGCCCCTGACCAGAACTCCTCCTTCCTCCTGGAGATTCTCTAGTGCCCTGGAAAGGATCTGTCCTTGCATCCATGAACTGTAAGGCACACCCAGGCTGCAGAAGCAGGAGGATGCTGGAGAGAATGTCCTTTGTGTCAATCCTGGCATAAATCAGTATTTAACGGCAATTCCCACTGTAGTGACTATGTTCTTTCTTCCCTCCTGCAGAACAACTGTTTACATTTTTCCTCCCTCTCCTGTTAACAACCCCCTGGTAGCACAGGACTTAGTCTTAAGTTCTGAATACTGTGATTTTACAGACGACACAAAGGAATCAGAATTAGCTTGGTTAGCCAGATTCATTAGAGTGCTTTGGTTTTGGAGAATCAAGGATAAAAGCTAAATATGTTTCCACTGGTAGGAAGCAGTGAATGCACCTCCTTTGTTTTCCCATGCTAATCACTTCTAGCTATTTGGCAGCTTGATGTTTACAACAAGAGACTATTAGGAGCATGGCTGAATTTAACATTGAACTGAGAGCACTGCTGTTGCCTGCCTTATTGTCAAAAAGATAAGGTATTTATAACTGCTGCCATTTAATACTGTCATAAGTAATGAATGGACAGAAACAAAAACTTAATATTTATGGCAGACAAGTACTGAAATCCTTCAGACCAGAATTAAAATTGAGAGCAGGTCTTTTAAGGAATCAATGAGAGAAAAAAAACCCGTCCTTGTAAAATTGCAGCGAAAGACATCACTGCCATAAAAGCAGAAGTACTAACAGAGCTGGGTAAAGAATATTTAATAACATCTTCAGTGTACAAAAACCTGGTCAACTCATCTGAATGAATGTATGAAAGATTTAGTGCTTTTTTCCTCAAGAGCTAGGAAACTGCCTGGTTCGGAGCCTGGAGCACTTGACGGAGGTGCAGAAGCTGGCACTCGGGTCCTGGTTTTCGATGTTATTTGCTTTATGGTCCCTGGCCAAGCACGTGTCTGTGCCTCAGTTTCCAGACATCTAACACAGAGATGACACTGTCCACTCTCACAAGAGAGCTATGAGGATATCTACCTGTAAAACACCTTCCCCTCCTCCCAAAGCCCTACTTACTAAGACAGACAGAATCCTACATTCACTGTTTAATGAATTAATACTTTATACAAGTCTCTCACTGCACCGTACACTCACACGCCACTTCAGAGATCAGAGCCTTTTCAGACAAGTCTTTCTTCGCTTTTGCAGCAAGACACATCCCAATCCAATCCTAT